CATATATGTATAATATGTAGTTATCATTCCATATAATGCTTATAATGCCCGCGTATATAATATTCGATATATATATATATATATAATATATGTGTGTGTGTGTTAGGGATACATAATATATATATTTTTTTTTTATTGATCAAAAGACATCGGCGGCAACGGCAAATAGTTGTAAACGTTACATTGATTACATTTTTTTTTTAAGTATCTCATATGTAATATTTTAAATTAAATTGTACAATTGATATTTCTTAAAAAAGTCAAGATTTGGAGTGTGGAGTCTGCATTTGGACCGAGGGTTGYGTCTAAGGTGATTGGGATGTTCAGCTGAACGAGTACATCTGTGTATTGACGGCATTGGAATATTGGATACATAATATGTTAGGTATATACTATATACATAATATAATGAACATTAATAAAGAGCAGCAGTGTCAATAGGTGAAATTAAAAGGCAAATATTCAGGATATAAACACATGTGTACATAAAGATAATAAATGATAGTATTATATTATCGTGTATTAGACATTTTAGCGATTCGAATATAATAGCGAAAAAAAACTTACGTCACCCGAGATGACTTATCGTCGTCGTCGTGAGGCCTCATCCGTATAATACCATATTATTATACATGCCAAAGTATATATTAATGATTTCGGTCTTAAAATAATCAGAAGACGATTATTATTCTGAACAAGTCTGGCTCGTGTAGAATACGATCGCAGRCACCAGGTATATAATACATGGGTACCCGTGTGTATATAATATTATATACCTATATTTATAATATAGCGTATAGGTGCGCACGGGTAGAATATAAAATTCGGTTGTGAACGTACGTTTCGCAAGTCATGATGAACGCCTACACTTGACATTGCATTCGGTCGCGAATCGCATTCATTCGTAGACCGAACAAAATATTATAATGTTTATACATATATATAATGATATTCATAGGTATGCGTATCTATATTAAAAATAACTCTTGCTTAGGAATTATTGCACTGACAGTATATAAGTACTATATAGTATGTACGCGACTAAACTATAACTACGAAATATTCAAATATGTAAGTAATATGTATATAAAATGGATATATCCACATTAGAACCTATGTGTAATATATATTAAGTACTTATACCAAATTCATATTTATATATTGACGTTAATTTTAAATTCCTATTAAAATAAGTTCAAATATTATAGTGGCGCCTATATATATCGTTATTGTATGTACAGTACCTATATATATTTTGTGTGTTGATAAGTAGGTACCTCCTAATTTGTTTTTATTTTATTGTAATAATGTAATATATATATATGTATTTTTTAAATGCGTTATCAATAAAATTGATTTCGTCATTGTTATTTGTAAACAATAGAATATTATATCGAAACAATACAATATATTACTYATGTAGGTACCTATATATAATAGGTACTTATAGTATTATAAGTAGGATACGTATAAATTGAATGCGATCGGTACTGCAGAGAGATGAGAGTCGAGTACGCGTACTATACGTAACACCTTGGTATAATAGTTATTAATGTTATTATACGAGATTTGAAGAAC